CCATGTCTCCCACACACACACATGCACCTCCTCTCTGCCTGGATTCCAGCTTTGAGCCCTTGTGAGATTCTCCAGAGCCACCCCCACCAATTCCTCCTCCACCAGCACTACCAGTACTCTTTGCCTGTTCACTCACTCACACACACACACTATTGCACACACACATGTCAAAAGACACTCTAACATTCCAATGGTTCACCATTCCCTTAATATTGCCAGAGTAAAGCGATCCCCTCACACTCACATCACATTAGTGCTGCTATTAGACCATACCCAGACATAAGAGCTACAGGGTGTGTATGTGTTGAGTGTGTGTGTGTGTGTGTGTGTGTGTGTGTCTGTGTATGTGAAGTCTGCCAGAATTTTATGCATGCTAGAGGGGGCGACTGTGTGTGTTTGTGTTTGCGTCCGGGCATGTGATTTGTGAGGGAGGAAAGGGTAGAGAAGTTTAGTATGTGTCAGAAAAATTGGGGGTCTATGTTTGTGTGTGTGTATCTACGTGTTGCATTTTAAGAGAGAAAGTAGAAACACTGATATCCTGGCACGAGATGAGTAGGAAGAAGGATGGATGAGGTTAGCGAAGGTCTGGCGAGGGTGCAGTAGGTGTAAGCTTGAGAAATTTCCATATGGCAGTAAAATGTCTGCCACTTTACTTATTGAATTTCTAATGTGTGCCAGGTGCTTCTCACGAGCACTTAGTGGACCATTTATGTGTGTCTGACTACAGTATGTGTGTATATGTGTTTGTTTTAAGTCGCATTTGGAGCAAATTGTGGACTCCAAACCAGGTCAGCCGCCGCTTCAGGGCAAAATTGGTATCCACAATTTTGTTTCAGAGCATTTCAGTCACAGCTGTAATATCCTCGTCCTCATCGGGGTTAGATTATAGGGTAAAGGTAAGGGCAATGGTTAGGGTCAGGCATGTTTTTGTTATGGGTAATGATTACGCTAAGTCTCCAACAAAAAAAAATATCAATGCAATGTTTCCAGAAATAAGCTATCTGTGTTTGTGTTGGTAGGTTTTTCAGTACCAATCTTGACCCATTACAGTCATTCTATAACAACAAGGTTGTATATACTGTCTTACTGCTGCCATTTATAGACTAGAAAACTCTCAACTGTCAAACCTGGACCGAAATGGCACACACTATAAAACATAGAAAAATAAACCTGCTCCATAGGTTTCATAAAAACCCAAGCTATAAAGTACACAAACGTTGATTTATTAATGTGGATGTTCCAGTCAGTGGCAAAAGATTCCCCCCCGACGTGTTGGTTTATACCAAGCACATATTTATGGTTTAACACACTTACTTTTTACACTGGCAAACAGCTTGGGGTTCAGGAATTCTTTGAGACTTACCCCATGTAATCTTTTGTTTATCATAGACCAAGATTTTTGCTTTCTTATCTTCTGGAAGAAACCTTCAAAGGTGTAACAGACTCCAGGGCAAAAATCTGTAGAATCTATGTTTTCTTTTCTTAGCAAAGTTGCTCCAAAGTTTTTCTACCTCATTTCCTTTTAAGAGCAGCCATATAGAAGTAACAGAGGTGGCAGTCGTGAACTCAGTGTGCTTCTGGTTGCCCTTTAATGGCGACCAGGCAGGAGCGCTGGGGCTTCAGCGGTTTTGGCAACAAATGAGACAGTCTTCTTTGAAGCCGCCACAGATCCTCTTACCCACGTCGCTTCACTTATAAAATGATTTTCCTTTCAAACGGTCCTACGTCGTTGTGAGGCATACAGGAATTCATATGAGAATATGACAAATTTTGTGTCAGTGAGACCTACCCCCAAATACCTTAGTCTGAGGGAACATTTCTGTTTCTTCTTTGTTTCTAGTTTCAGAGTATTTTAGCATATCAAGACCAAACCGCTAAAATGATTCATCATAGAATGAAAGTAGTCATTTTCTGACGATGAATGTTATTGTGAAATCAGTTTTATTGAGAGAATAAAAAACGTTCTTTTGATTCTTAAAAGAAAAAAAAAATATATATATTTAAAGCAACAACCTGTATACTACACCAACAGCCATGTGGCATAAATAACACCATGTGTTGTTAAAATTACAGTAAATATGTACATTACTTCCTTCAAATTAACTGCAGCAGTGACATCCCACATGCTGGCCTGCTAGGTCATAAAACAACAGCAATAATAATCACCAAACCAATTAAAGGAAATGTTGCAAATGCACTTTATACTATCAGCAGAGTTTACTGTTTCACTATTTCCTTTTGCATTTTGGTTGATCTCTATTCATAATAAGAACAGTGTGGATTAATAGTTTACCTTCTGTGTTCCTCTTATCATCTGTAAAGTCATTCTAAAAAAATATCATATCATTCAGACATGAGAGAACACAAAGTAAAAACATTCAAGTTGGCCTGTAACATCAAGCTGGAAACCTTTGAGGAGTTTCTCAATCACACTGAGTAGTCCAAACTTTTCTTCATATTTTTCCCCCTGATATCAGCCAAAATTTTGAATTCAGTGAGGGAGATTCAGAGCAGTGCTACAAGTGTTTGATTATTTCAGCCAATTGAATCCTAACAGCCTGAGAGCAGAAATGCAACACTTCAACACTGTAAATTATCTTACTTAAATTGCGTTCTCCCTTTGAAAACATAAATTATCTGGGGAGCTTTAATGCTAATGTCATTGTCTGCTATGGATAAAATCAAAGTACTGGTACTATTTATTTGTACGACAACATTTCATAAACTAGCTTAGAGGTAAACATACATTTACTCAGAAGCCTAAAGATGAAGTGAGAGTTTGGGTGAAAATAAGTTACACAAATCTACCAAATGGCTTAAGATCTTTTTAAACAATTTATTACCAGCCAACTCTATGACAGTGGCAACACTGACACGTAAAACAGAGAGACACACAGCAGAGCACATGGTTACATCTGTCTGCTTACACCTCTCAGGAAATGGCATACAATCACCTTTCAACTTCCCACTAACAGACCAGTCATTTGGCTTCACTTCGACATTTCACAGGTCTAGTTTCCTCATAACACACCTTAAACATTTCTTTATATGCCAACAGAACAGTCGGCAAATTCCAAAGTGTTAACATAGTTGTTATTCTTTATATAGGCCTACAGAATAAAGTTAGGAGTTTAGGTGGCCTGCAATACTGCAAATCCCTTACATTATAACTTTACTAACTTTATTCGAGAAGCGGTGTTCAGCTTTCCACTTCTTTCTTATCTGCAAACACAGAGGAGAACACATCAGTATTCAACATCATTTATAATGTAATCGACTTCTTCTATTTAGCAGTCTACTATTAATGCTGACTGTGCCAAGTTCAGCCTCTTATACAACTGTGCCTGCCATCTCTGGCTGGTTGTTAATAGCTGGCTTAATTAAATGCATCAGTTGGTTATTACTAAATTAAACAAAACAAATTGGACACAATATTAGCAGCATTAAAGTAAGTGTCAATATTACTGATGTATCCCCCATACATGAGGGTGTTTCTAACTTCTGTGCTGAGTTGGCTTTTGTTTTGTCAGCAGGGTTATATTTTCCCCACAGATCACAGGATTTTATTTGAGCGACATTTAAATTTAAAGCACAAAAATTACCGAGTTAAACTGAAAAGAAATGTGCATAAAGCAAAAATATATTTTTTTTCTGCAAATAAAACATTACTTATAATAAAGGTTGCCATTTAGACTAACATGCATATGTTCTTGGCAAATTCCTTAACTTTGTTTACTGCTGTTTACTGAAGTACTTACAGATACAATAAAACGACTGTAAAGACAGAGAGATTGAGGAGAAAGGCTGTAAAAGCCTGGTCGTGACTGGATGCTCCTTCTTCAACATATCCAAGGAAGAGGAAAAGTAAAATGCAAGTCTATAATCCTTGAGGAAAAAATACATTGCCTACTGCCTTTTGCCCGAACGATTGAGTTAATTTTTTCTCTAAACACAAACGAGCGATGGAGACAACTGTGCAGTCATTATGTTCCGCTCAAGTAAAAAAGCGTCGCGTCTGAAAGTTTCTCAGCTTTGATTATTATTTCAGATTCCAGAGTAAAATGTGATGCCACGGGCTTTTTATTTTTAAATTAAAATAAGTGTACTGATGTTTTTCCTGAGCCTATCATTCAATTTATAGTTTTACATTGCTATTTTATTCATCCATATATATTTTTTTAAACGACGTCTAGAATACAAAGGCACTGGATGTGATGATGTCACTTTCATACTCACAGAAAGTCGAAATGGGCGAGATTCTTTTTGAATGAAGGGCTGGTGGGGGTCCAGTTTCCACCGGAGCAACATTTTTTCCGAAATGTGTTTGTATTTTGAAGTCACGCAGTTGTCTGTTTTTTCTTTTTCTTTAAATCAAAGCAAAAACTCAGCAGAAACTTTCCTTCTCCTTTGCATTGGAACTGAGCGACCCGCGGGGAGGCGCTGTGCGTCCATGTCTGTGCATGAGAGTCCCAGGAAAGGAAAGGCAGAGTAACACCCTGCAGAAACGGAGATAATGGAATAAAAGACCAACTTCTGACAATTTCGCCATTAATGTAAGGCGTGCAAATACTCGAAAACAAAAACAAAAGTTAAGATTAAGAAGTTGCGCAAATTTTATCAAAAAAATCTTCTTTTCTCATTTTTTTTTTGTCCCAGAAATGTTTTATATCAATTGTCTGGAAGAGAAGATCTTTAGGTATGCTGCTACGATTGTGTTCGGATGCAAGAACCAAAGACTGCTCTAGGAAGAAGTAAAAATATATTTTAAAATGCACCCATTCCATACTCATAATTAATATGAGACTATATGATCGTCAGGTAGACATTTCTTTCAATGCAGCTGCTGTAACCGTAACCCCTCCTCCTGCTGGTGCCCCCCCCCGTCTCTCTCCCTCTCTCTC